CATCATCAACATCATCATCATCATCATCACCATCACCATCATCATCATCACCACCACCAACATCACCATCACCATCACCATCACCATCATCATCATCATCATCATCATCATCATCATCATCATCATCATCATCATCATCATCATCATCATCATCATCATCTTCATCATCATCATCATCATCATCATCATCATCATCATCATCATCATCATCATCATCATCATCATCATCATCATCATCATCATCATCATCATCCGCATCATGCTCCTTTTCCTCACCCCCTCGTCTCCTCGTCCCGGTCGAAGTCGAGCATGGCAAGGAGCAGCCCGCTGATCGAGAGGCGGTCCTAGAGGGGGCGGGGAAGGAGAAGTGGGCAGAGGGAGAGGAGGAGGGGGAGGAGGGGAAGGAGGGGGGAGGGAGAGGAGGGAGAGGAGGGGATAGGAGGAGAGGAAGAGGAGGAGGAGGAGGAGGAGGAGGAGGAGGAGGAGGAGAAGGAGAAGGAGGGGGAGGAGGAAGAGGACAGACTGGACGCGCAGGCGCGCCAGTCTTTGCGGAATATTTGGACCTAGAGGCATCCTGCACCCTGGAGTCGGTGGCCCAGGAATGCACGGCCGAGGGATCTCGGGCCCAGTGTCCTGAAGTTTTGGGCCGAGTCCAGGGCCTGGGGGTCGCGGATCATGGTCTCAGGAACCTTGAACCCCGGAGTGTTTGGCCCAGGTGTTTCAGGCCCTGGAGTCTAGAGCCAAGGTGTCTTGCACCCTGGAGCTAGGGCCCAGGAGTCCTGTACCCTTTGAATCCAGAGGCCAGAAATCCTGGACCCTGGATTATAGGGACAATGAATTTCGGCCTTGGACCATAAAAGCCCCAGAATCGAAAGCCCAGGAGTCCTGGGCCCACGAGTCTACGGCGCAGAGAACTTCGGCCCTGAAGATTAATTAACTCCTCAGACCCTTGGGCCATGGAGTTTCAGGCCCAAGAGTCGCGCGCCCTGGATCCGAGAGCCCAGGAATCCTGCACGAAGCGTCAAAATTGGGTCGGGCATCTATGGCCCAGGGGTCTGATCCTGGGCCCTACATTCTAGGAACAAGGATCTTGGACCCTCGTATCCGCCCCTGTGTTTTCTGATGCCCAACGCCTCGGGCACTGGAACCTAAGGCCCTGGAACCCTGGGGTTACGTATCCTGGGCCCTGCAGACAAAAGCCCGGGAGTCCTGGGCCCTGGGGTCCTTGGGGCCCAGAGTCACGGCCGCGTGGGACCTCGGGCCCTGGCGTGCACGGCACAGGAGCCCTCGACCCTGGAGTCTCGAGCTCAGGAGTCCTGGACCCGAGATTCTAGGGCCAAGCTGCAAAATCTTCGGCTCTACTTACGCAGGACGAAAGATTTTGCTCTTGAGGTGCAAATGGCCATGAGGAGTTTGCGAGACAACGTCGGCGCCGCCGAACGGACGGCGACCGGACGAGCTGTTTGCAGCAACTGGGGGGGGGAGGGATGTATGTATTCATGTTGAATGGGGCCTGTTCGCGCGGGGAGTTGATGGGAGTGCGCGAGCCGACGCAGGGCCCATCGTGGAAAGTTGATTACTGAACCCCCCTTCCCCCATAGAATCTTAACACGGGCGGTTTGCGGGGTCCGCGGATCCGATTTATTCCGGCCCCCTGGTTTAATTTAATAATATAAATTTAAAGCAGGGTAGAAATCGGATCCGCCGTAAAAAAAAAAGACCGGACACGGATCCAGCGAATCCGGAATCGGATCCGTGCGGACGGAAATCGGATCCACCGAAACAAACACCCAAGCCACATTTGGATCCGCGCAAACTCCATGGGATCCGACGGCGGTTATCTCATACGGGTCTGCTCAAGACTTCACACCGTCGTTCCGAGCCCAAGAGGAAAAAACTTTCGCCCTGGGGATGTAGGATAGATGATTTCTTGGCTCTGGAATCTCAGGACCACGGGTCAGCCGTGGTCCACGGCTGACCCGCCCGCGCGCTCGGGTGACCGACGCGCGGGCGGATCCCCCGAAACCCGGCTGGTCGCCAATGAGGATTCCCAGGCCACGCTGGCGATTTCTCTATTTCAATATACAGACCTCCCCCACGAGCGCGTGCGCGCGCGCGATTGGGTGGCCCGCGCGCGGGCGGGTCACCCGAAATCCGGCTGGTCACCGTTAAGGGCTCACGTCGGTTCTCAGACCGACATGGCAAAATGTCCACGGTGGACACTACAGAACTCGCGACGCGCGCGTCCGCGCGCGCGCGCGATCGGGCGCGCGATCGGGCGACCCACGCGCGGGCGGGCCACCCGAAATCCAGCTGGTCACCGTCAAGGGTTCACTTCAGTTTCCAGGTCAACATGACGACTTTTCCATTGTGGACAAATACAGACTCCCCCACGCGCGCCCCCGCGCTCGCGCGCGAGCGCGATGAAGTGACCCGCGCGCGGGCGGGCCACCCGACATCCAGGCGGCCACCGCGAAGCGTTCACTTTACTTTCCAAGCCAACATGGCGACTCTGCAGCTGTGGACAAATGCAGAACTCGCCACGCGCGCGTCCGCGCGAGCGCGGACGGGCGACCCGCGCGCGGGCGGATCACCCGAAATCCGGTTGGTCACCGTTAAAAGGTATTTCAGTTCCCAAGTCAACATGGCGACTCTTACATGATGGACGAATACACGATTTCCCACACTCGCGCGTCCGCGAGCGGGCGCGAGCGCAAGTGGGTGACCACGCGCGGGCGGGTCACCCGAGATCCAGCTGGTCACCGTGAATGGTTCACTTTCGTTCCCAAGCCAGCACCTCGACTTTTCCTCTGCGGGCACAAACAGAATTCCCCACTCGCGCGCCCGCGCGCGCGCGAGCGCGATCGGGTGACCCCCGCGCTGGCGGGTCACCCGAAATCCGGCGGGCAACCGTTCAAAGTTCACTTCGTTTCCAGGCCAACATGGCAGTTCTCCCAACGTCGGCACTACAAGACTCGCCACGCGCGCGTCCGCGCGCGAGCGATCGGGCGACCAACGCGCGGGCGGGTCACCCGAAATCCGGCTGGTCACCGTTCAGGTTTCACTTCGGTCTCCAGGTCAACATGGCGACTCTTCATCTGTGATCAAAAACAGTATTCCCGACGGGCGCGCCCGAGCTCGCGCGCGAGCACGATCGGGTGACCCCCGCCCGGGCGGGTCACCCGAAATATGGCTGGTCACCGTTCAGAGATCGGTTATAGTTCCCAAGCCGCCAATCTGGCGACTTTTCCACGGTGGACACTACGCAGAACTCGCCACGCGCGTGCCCGCGCGCGATCGGGTGACCCACTCGCGGGCGGGTCACCCGAAGTCCGCTTGGTTACCTTTAAAGGTTCACTTCAGTATCCTGGCCACCATGGCAAACTTTCCATGGACAAACAAAAGATTCCGCACGCGCGAAACGCGCGCGCGATCGGGCGACCAGCGCGCGGGCGGGTCACCCGAAATCTGGCCGGTCACCTCAGGCCAACATGGCGACTTTTCCACGGTGGACACTATAGAACTCGCCACGCGCGTCCGCGCGCGCGATTGGGTGACCACCGCGCCAACACGGCAGCTTCTACAGAATACCCCATGCGCGCGTCAGCACGCGCGCGCGTGCGATCGGGCGTGCGATCGGGTGACCCACGCGTGGGCGGGTCACCCGAAATTCGCTTGGTCACCGTTACGGGTTCACTTCGGTTCCCAGGCCAACTGGCGACTTTTCTATATGAACACATACAGAATTCCCCTCGCGCGCGAGCGCGATCGGGTGACCCACGCGCGAGCGGTTCACCCGAAATATTGGTCACCGTCACGGGTTCACTCAGACTCCAAGCCAACATGGCGCCATTTCCATGAAGGGCGCAACAGAACTCGCCACGCGCGCGTCCGCGCGCGAGCGCGATCGGGTGACCCACGCGCGGGCGGGCCACCCGAAATCTGGCCGGCCACCTTTAAGGGGTAATTTCAATTCCCAGGCCAGCAAGGACACTTTTCCCCCGTGGACCAATACAAGATTCGCCACGCGCGCGTCCGCGCGCGCTAGCGTGTTTGGGCGACCTACGCGCGGGCGAGTCACCCGAAATCCGGCTGGTCACCGCTAAGGGCTCACGTCAGATAGTTCCCAGGCCAACCTGGAAACTTTTCTACTTCGGCCATAAATAACAAATTCCCCACGCGCGAGTCCGCGAGCGCGCGCGCGAGCGCGATCGGGTGACCCACGCGCGGGCGGGTCACCCGGAATCTGGCTGGTAACGGTTAAGGGTTCACGTCAGTCTCCAGGCCAACATGGCGACTTGTCCATTGTGGCCACGCGCGTGAGCGATCGGGCAACCAGCGCGCGGGCGGGTCACCCGAAATCCTGCTGGTCACCCTTTACGGTTCACTTCAGTTTCCAGGCCAACATGGCGACTTTTCCACTGTGGGCAAATAGAGGATCCGCCGCGCGCGCACGCGCGTGCGCGCGCGCGTGCGCGCGCGCAATCGGGCAACCCACGCGCGGGAGGGTCACCCGAATCTGGTTGGTCACTGTAACAGGTTCACTTCAGTTTCCAAGCGATTTTTCCATTGTGGACAACACAGAACTGCCCACGCGCGCGCCCGCGCGCGCGCGCGATCGGGTGGCCAACGCGCGCGCGGGTTTACCCGAAATCCGCTGGGTCTCCCATAAGAATTCACTCGAGCTTCCAGGCCAACATAATGACTTTTCCACTGTGGACAAATACAAGATTCTCCACGCGCGCATCCGCGCGCGCGAGCGCGATCAGGAGACCCACGATCGGGCGGGTCACCCTGAATCCGGTTGGTCGCCGTTCTGGTCTCAGTTGGATTCCCCGGCCAGCACGGCGATTTTCCAACATGTACACTACGGACCTCGCCACACGCGCGACCGCGCGCGCGCGCGATCGGGCGACCCGCGCGCGGGCGAGTCACCCGAGATCCGGTTGGTCACCGCTGTGGGCCCACTGCAGTTTCCACGCCACCATGGCGACTCCTCCATAGTGGGTGGTAAACAAAGAATTGTCCTCGCGCGCGTCCGCCCATCCGCGCGCGCGCGATCGGGTGACGCACGCGCGGGCGGGCCACCCGAAGTCTGGTTGGTCACCGTTCAGCGTGTACTTTTCCACGCCACCATGGCAAATAGTCCACGCACGCGTCCACGCGTCCGCGCGCGCGCGATCGGGCGACCCACGCGCGGGCGGGTCACCCGAAATCCACCGAGCCACCGTTGAGGGTTTACTGTTGTTTACAAACCAACATGGCGACGTCACGACTGCGGACAAGTACTACAATCTCCCCCCAATCGAGCGTCCGCGCGCGCGAGCGCGATCGGGTGACCCAAGCGCGGGCGGGTCACCCGAAATCCGCTCGGTCACCGTGGGGGGGTTACTTTAGTTTCCACACCACCATGACAACTTTTCCATTGTGGACGACTGCAGAACTCGCCACGCGCGCTTTCGCACGCGCGCGCGATCGGGTGACCAACGCGCTGGCGGGTCACCCGAAATCCGGTCGGTCACAGTTCAGGGTTCATCTCGGTTTCCAAGCCACCATGACAACTGTTCCATTGTGGGCAAATGAACCATGCCCCACGCGCGCGTCCGCGCGTCCGCGCGCGCGATAGTGACCCTCGCGCAGGTGGGTCACCCGAAATACGGTTGGTCGCCATTACGGTACACTTTTCTCCAAGCCAATATGGTGACTTTCCCGTTGCCGACAATGCAGAACACGCCACGCGCGCGTCCGCGCGAGCGAGAACGGGTGACCCACGCGCGTGCGGGTCACCCGAAGTCCAGTTGGTCACCGTGACGGGTTCATTTGAGATTACAACGTAAAATCGCGACTCCACTCTTATGGGCACGTACACTATTTTCCATGCGCGCGTCCGCGCGTCCGCGCGCGCGATCGGGTGACTCACGCGCGGGCGGGTCACCGAAATCTGGTTGGTCACCGTGAGGGGTCTTTACTTTCGTTCCAGGCCAACATGGCGACGTTTCCATGGTCTACCATACAAGATTCCCCACGCGCGAGTCCGAGCGCGCGATCGCGTGACTTCGCGCGGGCGGCTCACCCGAAATCCGGCTGGTCACCGTTGATGGTCCACTTTAGTTCCCAGTCGAACATCGCGACGTCTCTCTTGCGGAAATACTGAATTCCCCACGCGGGCGACAGCGCGAGCGCGATCGGGTCACCCACGCGCGGGCGGGTCACCCGAAATCTGGGTGATCCCCGTTGATGGGTTCACTTGTGTTTCAATGCCAACTTGGCGATTTCTGTTTTCGGCAATGCAACATTCCCCAACGCGCGCGTCCGCGCGCTCGCGCGAGCGGGTGACCCACGCAACATGGGACGACGCATTCTGGCTGAAAGCGTTTCCCGTTCGGCGCGCCTTGCGATCCCGTTGTTGGCCTGATCCCGTCTGTCCAGAGCCCACGCAGCCTATGCCCCGCACCCCAGAAACCACCAACCCGAAGCTCTTCTCTAAGAACATGCGAAGGTGATCGCCTTCGCGAAGCCATCATCCACGAGACCGCGGGTGCTGAAGGCTGCACATTTGTTTCGGAACCCTTGAACGCCGAGGGCACCGGCCCACGCCGCGGGCGCGCAGTTCCTGCGGCGCGCTTCGAACCGAAGAACACGGAAAAGCATGGCCGGAAGTTCCGGCCGTACCAGAACGGGCGCACAAAGTTGTCAAACTGCTAAATATTCGAAGGTACCTTCCCTCTAGCTACACAGAGCATGCAAGAAAAACAACGAAGAACATTTGGCACCCTCCCACAAGCCAGCGGGTTCTTACACCTTGTTCCGGATGTATGCCCCCGATAGCGAATCCGCGCGTTCCTGGGCAGGGTGGGCAATCGGCCCCCTATCAGAGATGAATTCGGCGATTGGGGGTCGATGCCCCTGAGGAAATCCCCACTCCTTCCCCCTTCCCACGCCTGCGATGAACTCGAGGCCGCTTCTGACATTAGTAACGCCCGCGACCAGCCCCGCCGCCCCCCCTTCCCCCTGGTCACGTCACGCTTCGCGCCGGCGCCGGTTGGGAAGTAGCCATTCCGAGGCTACTTCCCCTACGGCGCTGGCGCGAATCGTGACGTGAACGGCCCCCTCCCCCCCTTCCGCCCAACGCGGTCACGCTCATTATCTTGGGGGCGCACAAACATGGCTTACCGATCCATGGATTTTGCGCGCGGTCGCCAAATCTATGGATCGGGGGAGGTCTCCTCCCAAAAATGGTCTCCTCTCGCCCCCTCCCCCCCTCCCCCCCTCGGTCACGGCCGTGATCGCCAGGCGATAAAAACAATGATCTCCTCCATTGCGAGCGCTGTGAGAAACTGGGCAGCAGCGGCGCGGCCCGCGGCGGCGGCAGAGCAGCAGCGGGGTCCTGGACAGGGAGCCGCTTGAAGCGCGAGAAGCTGGCGAAGACCTCCGGGCACAGGGCGGGCAGGGGGAGGGCACCAACGAGGGAGGAACGGCACAACGAGGGAGGGACCGGGGGAGGGAGGAAGTGGACGAGGGAGGGAGGGAGGGAGGCACGGAGGGATGGGACCTGGGAGAGGCGCAATCACCACACCATCATCACCGCAACCATCGCCATCACCGTCACCAGTCATTAGTCATCCGTCATAATATGGCATCAGTCACCAGCCATCATCATCATCATCATCATCATCATCATCATCATCATCATCACCACCACCACCACCACCACCATCATCATCATCATCATCATCATCATCGTCGTCATCAGCATCATCATCATCATCATCATCATTAACATCATCATCATCATAATCATCATCATCATCAGCATCATCATCATCAAAATCATCATCATCATCATCATCATCATCATCATCATCATCATCAGCTTCATCTTCATCAACATCATCATCAGCAGCAGCACACTCATCATCAGCATTATCATCAGCATCATCATCAGCAGAATAATCATCATCATCAATACTACCATCATCATCAGCATCAGCATCAGCATCAGCATCAGCATCAGCATCATCATCATCATCATCATTATCATCATCATCTTCGGCAGCAGCATTTCTTCATCATCAGCATCATCATCCGCATCATCATCAGCAGCATCATCATCACCACCACCATCATCATCATCATCATCATCATCATCGTCGTCATCATCATCATCATCATTAACATCATCATCATCATCATAATCATCATCATCATCATCATCAGCATCATCATCATCATCATCATCAGCTTCATCTTCATCAACATCATCATCAGCAGCAGCACACTCATCATCAGCATTATCATCAGCATCATCATCAGCAGAATAATCATCATCATCAATACTACCATCATCATCAGCATCAGCATCAGCATCAGCATCAGCATCATCATCATCATCATCATCATCATCATCATCATCATCATATTCGGCAGCAGCATTTCTTCATCATCAGCATCATCATCCGCATCATCATCAGCAGCATCATCATAGTCCTAATCATAATCAGCATCATCACAACCACCACCACCACCACCACCACCATCATCATCATCATCATCATCATCATCACGTAGCTTTTCCTTACCCCTCCATCTTCTATCCATCCTCATTCCTGTTCCTCCCCCTCCTCATCCTCGTCCCAAACCTTGTCATCGTCCCTGTCTTCCCTCTTCTCCTCATCATTCTCCTCCCCCCCGCTGGGTCCTCCTCATCCTCCCCCCCTTCCCTCCTCCATTTCTTTACCTTATGTTTTCGGGGAAAAACCCTAAGCAAAGTCTTTTCAGGGTTATAGGGCTATGGGGCTATTGGCCTATAGGGCGATGGGACTATGGGGCTATAGGGCTACAGGGCTATGGAACTATAGGGCTATAGGGCCATAGAGCTATGGGGCTACACGGCTATTGGGCCATAGGGATATAGGGCCATAGGGCTTTAGGGCTGTAGAGCTGTAGGGCTATAGGGGCTATGGGGCTATAGGGCTATAGGGCTATAGGGCCATAGCCAATAGGGCTATGCGTATATCGGGCTATGAGGCTATAGGGCTATAGGACCATAGGGTTACAGGGCTATAGGGATATAGGGCTAAGGAGCTATATGGTTATAAGGCTATAGGCATATGAAGCTATGGGGCTATAGGGCTATAGGGCCCTAGGGCTATAAGGCAATAATGTTCCAGGGTTATAGGACTATTGGGATATATGTCTATGGGGCTATAGGGCTATACGGCTATAGGGGCTATGGGGCTGTAGGGTTGTAGGGCTATGGGGCTATAGGGCCATTGGGCTATAGGGCTATAGGGATATAGGGCTATAGGGCTATAGGGCTATAGCGACATTGGGCTATAGGGCTATAGGGTTACAGAGCTATAGGGCTCTAGGGCTATGAGGCTGTAAGGCTATAAGGCTATGAGGCTATAGGGCTATGGGGTTATAGGGCTATTATGCTATAGGGCTATAAGGCAATTGGGCTATGGGGCTATAGGGCTATAAGGCTATAGGGCTATACGGCCATAGGGCTATAGGGCTATAGGGCTATAGGGCTTTAGGGCTATAAGACTCTAGGGCTATAAAGCACCCGGGCAACCGGGGCGGGCCGCGGAAATCGGCGGCAAAGGTCACCTAACCATATACATCTGCTAGGACCCCTACAAAGGCAAGCTCTGCTTGGGGAGTAAATCACTTCTCCTTGTCGCACCCCGAGGCCAGTTTTCAGGGCGGCCTGGGCGTTTCGCCTGAGACCTCCTCACTATGTATGACCCTGAAGCTTAAAAATTGGCAGCAGTTTAACAGATGGAGGGCGGGTTGTTTTCAAAATGTGGCTCTCGCCTTAGCGTATTCGCCCTAACGGATTGAGGGCGGTTCCTTTTCAACATGTGGTGGCTCTCGCCTTAGCGCCGCGCACATTCTGTTTCAAAATTTGCAAGAGTTTCACGGATTGAGGGGGGTTCTTTTCAAAATGTGGCTCTCACTTTTGCGCCGCGCAGATTCGTTTGTTTTATTTGTAAGAGTTTCACGGATTCCCATGATCAGCGTAACAGAAAGTGTGTTTTGGAAGGATTCAGGATCATGAGGGTACAATAGTTACGTCGATTCGCGGTGTTGAAGTCTCAGGAATGGCGTTCTGGCACGACTCAGAATCGTCAAGACGCAACAGTCAAGTTGATCCGTGGCGTCGGACTCCCGAGAACCATGTTTTAGCATGCATCAGGGTCTTCACACGGTTGTCTTCCAACGAGGCAACTCCCCCATTGGAAATGAAACCTTGTATGGGGCCTACGAGAAGGGAGCCCCGAGGGAGCGTGTATTCCAACATCGCTGATGACTCTTGGGCTTACACTGGTCCCCCTCCTCCTCCTCGCCTCCCTCCTTGTCCTCGTTATTATTTCTCCTCCTCCTCCTCCTCCTCCTCCTCCTCCTCCTCCTCCTCCTCCTCCTCCGCCGCCGCCCCCTCTGCTGGGAGAGCAGGGCCCCGTCGAGGACTCGGGGACAGCCGGCCCCCCCCCCGTTCGGCTGGAGGCTGACGGGCTGGTCGCTTCTGCCAGATGGTCGGCGGCGGCGAGAAGGGCGAATCGCCCAGGGGCGGGCATTACCCGCATTCGCCCGGGAGCCCTGTCGAAGACATAGATCCTCTGCGCCCCTGGATACATGCATTGCTCCCCCCTGGGCTATTCGCCCTATCGTCGCCTCCGAGATGGGCGGGGTATGAACAGGAGGAAGAGGAGGAGGAGGAGGAGGAGGAGGAGGAGGAGCCATCCCCGAGCACCGGCGGAGGCGGGGCCTTTTTTTCCAGGGCCCGGGGGGCGCCTGCCCCAGGGGTGGCTGCCTACCAAGACCACCCCAGCCCAGCCCGAAGGCCCGAATTTCGGGCGGGGGTAGGGGTAGGGTTCGCATGTGGCCCCCATAGGCTTCACATGTGTCTCCTCAAGATGTTCCCCGACCCCCCCCCAGCTGGAAATGGAAGGCAAATCGGGGCCTTCGGGTTGGGTTGGGGGGGGGATTTGGGGGGCGGTGGCAGCGGGGGGCAGGGGGGGTAGGCCGCGGTGGCACTGGGCCCCTCTCTGCACCTGGGGATCCCAGCCCCACAGCGGTTCCCCCCCCCCGCTGGGGTCGCAGGCTGGTGGTACTTCCGGCGCCGTGGTTGCGTCGAGGGCGAACGTCTGTCGCGTGTCCAGCGAACGGCGAACGGTTGTCGCGTGTCCAGCGAGAGCGTATTTCATTTGTTTTGTCGATGGCCTCTGGAGCCTCGCGTGTGTCTTACGAAGGTCTACCGCGTTTTTATGTGGCCTCTAGAGCATCACTTGGTTGTTCAGTGTCCTCACCCTCGGCTTCGTGTGCCTGAGGCGAGGATGAGCCCGCTGTAAGGACGGTTTCGACTGTCGGACCCCAATGAGATCGGCGCCGATTTGTGCAGAAACACATTGGCTCTTCCTTCCTTCATGGACAACCGAACCTCCTCCGCCGACACCCCGTGGCCCTTTTCCTCCTCCTCCTCCTCCTCCTCCTCCTCCTCCCCTTTCTCCCCCGCTTTCCCATTCCTCCCCCATCCGTACCCACTCTGGAAGCAGTCGCTTTGACAAATACCAAATATCTAATGATGCAGAAACGTGCCCAATCCATCTACAACGAGTGGCGTCATCAAAGGGCCCATCCTAAACAAATGATGATGCGATTGGGCCCGCAATCTTTACTGGAAGGTGCATAGGAAGCCTACGCGTCGCACGCCCCACGGGAGCGATATGCGGCAACACGCAAAGTCAGGAAGCGCACGAAGGAGACCGAATGGCGACGACAACCAAGAGAAGGAAAGCTGTCAGAGCAGGGGGCAGGGAATATGAGCGAAGACGAAGGCGCGGACAGGGAGGGCACAGAGGACGGCGTGGAGGTCGAGGATCAAGGGACACGAGAATGACGAAGAGCTCTCCGACACCCAGATGGTGCAGGATCGATCCGAAATTGAGACAACTGGCCGGCTCGTTGGCCTCTTCCCTTAATCGCTTCGCGCGGGCACTACAAATCTGCCAAGCGACGGAAGTGCCGCAGTCAAACCCCAAGCAAAAACGTCCACGCCCCCTGATGCTGCTCTACAGCTGCTGTGGGCAAGGTGCGGGCAAGGAGCTCAGCAAAAAATCTACGACATGTGTGCACACAAAACAAGGCAACAAGCACGAGCGAGCGCAACTACAAGATAAACCCGGCTTAGAATGAGACGGATTGGGCAGCGTTCGGACCGGGCAGCAAAAAAGCCCACAAGCAAATTCAGACGGGCGAACTTCCCACAGCAATGGTTAATGATCGCACACATGTGCGTGGAGGAATTTCCAGAGCATATTCGAAGTTTCACAGCGAATTGCCCTGTTCGTCCTAGGCAGCAATGGGACGCTACGGTGCGGGCTGACCTTCTTAGTCGCATTCTCGGACTCACTCTCGCTGGCATCGAG